TCCCCCTTTTTAAGAAGGGGGACCGCACAGACTGTAACAACTACAGTGGCATATCACTCCTCAGTGTGCCGGGAAAGGTCCTGGCAAGGATTATTCAGCATCGCCTTGCCAGGCACGCTGAGGAGAGGCTTGCGGAGCCCCAATGCGGTTTCAGGAAAGGGCGGTCCTGCACAGATGCCATATTTTCTGTCCGTCTGCTACAGCAGAGGTGTAGGGAATTCCAACAAGACCTACATCTCTGCTTTATTGACCTGGTCAAGGCCTATTATACCATCAGTAGGCCTGGGCTCTGGGTCGTTCTTCGTGCTTTTGGAGTACCTGACCCTCTGCTCACGATCATTAAGGACCTTCATGATGGTGAGCGGGCCCGGGTAAAACTACGTGGCCGGGAGTCAGAGCCATTCCCTGTACACCTTGGGGTGCGACAGGGATGTCCTCTGGCTCCCACATTATTTAACATCTATTTTGACCACGTAGTTCGTGAAGCCTTCAATAGCTGTACTGGGGGAATCTCCATATGGTACAGATATAACGGGAGGCTAATCGATGCCCGGGTGCGGTCAAGGGATGGCTCCCTATTGCTCAACCACGTTATGTATGCTGATGATTTGGTAATAGCTGCTCATTCAGAGGAGGAGTTGGAGACGCTGCTGCTGAGACTGGAGCGTGCCACTAAGAGATGGGGCCTTACCATCAGTCCCACCAAAACTAAGTACCTGCCAGGGTATTTTGTACCATCGGACACTCCACCCCCACAACTCCCAATCGGTGATGGGGCAGTTGTGGAGAGAGTGGAGAGTTTCCCATACCTGGGCAGTGTGCTTATGACCGGCCCCAGTTTAACAGCAGAGGTCTCACTCCGAATCAGTCGAGCGGCAATATCTTTTCATCGGTTGCGTAACGCTGTGTGGAAGCTACCTGGTCTGCCGCTCCGCACTAAGCTTCAGGTCTTCTCAGCCACGGTCATTCCCTCCCTTCTCTACGCTTGCAAAACGTGGACCCCCCTAATGGAACATCTTCGCCGGTTGGAAACATTTAGGCTGGCCTGCCTACGATCCATCCTGGGTTTAACTAGGCTGGATTGTGTGAGGAGCTCACAAATCCTTGAAAGATCTGGGCAAGGTCCCATCGGTGAGCTCCTCCGGCAGGCAAGGCTGCGTTGGCTGGGTCATGTAGCCCGCATGCCCAGCCACCGCATGCCGAAACAGCTTTTGTTCAGCTGGATCGAGGGGGCTAAACGGGCGCGGCACGGGCTAGAGAAGAGATGGAGTGATGTGGTACAGGAGGACGTGGAGCTGAGTGGACTTTCCGATGACTGGTACCAGCGGTGTCAAGATCGGCTTCTGTGGAGGAGGCTCGTGAAGGACGCTACTGGGCAGTTGGAGGTAGTCGCCCTCCAACAACAACGGAGGGCGGAGGAGCGACGCTCACAACAACGAGCGGAGGGCCAGGTGGCTAAAGCACAGCAGGTTGGTACAGTAAGGGGCACAGGTGGTGCATCAGCCAGTCATCTCAGTCAGTCGACCCGTGGCACCTGGGTCTGCCCCGTGACCTCCTGCCAGCGGGCGTTCGACACTTCACGTGATAGCCTCAGGGTGCACATGGCCTGGCACAAGCGTCGTGGTGACGTCACCACCACTTAGTGGTGAATGGCGGTTGTTGTTGTGTGTGTGTGTGTGTCTGTGTGTGTGTCTGTGTGTGTGTGTGTCTGTGTATGTGTGTGTCTGTATGTGTGTGTGTTACTGTGTGTGGGGAGCGGTAGTGTAGCGGTTAGCGCTACGCTGCGCTATGAACCCGGCGACCCGGGTTCGATTCCCGCTCACGGTCAACACCCAGTGACGATTATCTGAACCGGTCCTGGGCCTCCCCTAGGTCGACTCAGCCTCAAATGAGTACCTGGTGCGGTGTGTAAACATTGCCACTAGGGAGACAAAGGCGGTCGGGCGTGGTGCTGGCCACCCACCCCCTCGTGTACCGTTCCGGCCTTCATAGGTGCTCGCTAACAGCACTTGCCCCTACAGTCTGTTAAGGCTATACGGGGGTGCTTTGTATGTGTAGTTGATCGATAATGGCACTTTCCCCACAAGTCTGTTGAGGCTATACGGGGTTCTTTGTCTTTGCACACTCGTGGGTGGTGTTGGCCCCTCACCCCCTGGACGTCTGTGACATTCAGGAGGTCCGGGGGAGGTTTCTGATGCGTGTGCTTGTAGTGGAGAGGCTGCCACTCCTCTGTCGGGAGCTGGACCGGTACTGCCTGGAGCTCTGTGGCATTCAGGAGGTCCAGTGGAGTGGTTCTGGCTCCACTCACCATGTCTGCCTCTTCTACCCGCGTCTCCCTCCCCCGTGTCTCTCTTCCCCGTGTCTCTCTCTCCCCGTGTCTCTCTCTCCCCGTGTCTCTCTCTCCCCGTGTCTCTCTCTCCCCGTGTCTCTCTCCCCTGTGTCTCTCTCCCCTGTGTCTCTCTCCCCGTGTCTCCCTCCCCGTGTCTCTCTCCCCGTGTCT